ATAATAGTTATGTGATAATCATCCTCGTTTTGATCTCAACTTACGATGGAACATCAATATAATATCATATCCATAAGAATCCACATGAAATTTTGTAGTGTAGCAGAATGGATAATAAATTAGTACAAGTGAGGTACGTAGTTTTTGAAAGGTATCAGATTAGTATAGATGTAGTTTTCATTAGGTATTAGATTAGAATAGGGGTAGCCGATTTTGGGAAAATTCTTGGCCGGAAAAATATTGCATGATATAGATCTCATTCATCATCATACACACTGTATATCCTCAAAAAAAAATCGATGATATATCGTCTATTAAGAGAGCTATGATTTTTCAAAGTTTCAGATTTATCGATTTCATCGCGAGTTTGAGTAGTCGATTTTGGGAAGAATCTTGGCCGGCAAAATATTGCATGATATAGATCTTATTCATCATCATACACACTGTATATCTTCGAAGAAAAATCAATGATACATGGTGTATTACGAGAGCTATGATTTTTCAAAGTTTCAGATTTATCAATTTCTTCGCGAGTTTGAGTAGTCGATTTCGGGAAAAATCTTGGCCGGCAAAATATTGCATGATATAGATCTCATTCACCATCATACACACTGTATATCCTCGAAGAAAAATCAATGATACATGGTGTATTACGAGAGCTATGATTTTTCAAAGTTTCAGATTTATCAATTTCTTCGCGAGTTTGAGTAGTCGATTTCGGGAAAAATCTTGGCCGGCAAAATATTGCATGATATAGATCTTATTCATCATCATACACACTGTATATCCTCGAAGAAAAATCAAAGATACATGGTGTATTAAGTGAGCTATGATTTTTCAAAATTTCAGATTTATCAATTTCTTCGCGAGTTTGAGTAGTCGATTTTGGGAAAAATCTTGGCCGGCAAAATATTACATGATATAGATCTTATTCACCATCATACACACTGTATATCCTCGAAGAAAAATCAATGATATATCGTCTATTAAGAGAGCTATGATTTTTCAAAGTTTTAGATTCATCGATTTCTTCGCGAGTTTGAGTAGTCGATTTCGGGAAAAATCTTGGCCGGCAAAATATTGCATGATATAGATCTCATTCACCATCATACACACTGTATATCCTCGAAGAAAAATCAATGATATATCGTCTATTAAGAGAGCTATGATTTTTCAAAGTTTCAGATTCATCGATTTCTTCGCGAGTTTGAGTAGTCGATTTTGGGAAAAATCTTGGCCGGCAAAATATTACATGATATAAATCTTATTCACCATCATACACACTGTATATCCTCGAAGAAAAATCAATGATACATGGTGTATTACGAGAGCTATGATTTTTCAAAGTTTCAGATTTATCAATTTCTTCGCGAGTTTGAGTAGTCGATTTCGGGAAAAATCTTGGCCGGCAAAATATTGCATGATATAGATCTTTTTCATCATCATACACACTGTATATCCTCGAAGAAAAATCAAAGATACATGGTGAATTAAGTGAGCTATGATTTTTCAAAGTTTCAGATTCGTCGATTTCTTCGCGAGTTTGAGTAGTCGATTTTGGGAAAAATCTTGGCCGGCAAAATATTACATGATATAGATCTTATTCACCATCATACACACTGTATATACTCGAAGAAAAATCAATGATATATCGTCTATTAAGAGAGCTATGATTTTTCAAATTTTCAGATTTATCGATTTCATCGCGAGTTTCAGTAGTCGATTTTGGGAAAAATCTTGGCCGGCAAAATATTGCATCATATAGATCTCATTCACCATCATACACACTGTATATCCTCGAAGAAAAATCAATGATATATCGTCTATTAAGAGAGCTATGATTTTTCAAAGTTTTAGATTCATCGATTTCTTCGCGAGTTTGAGTAGTCGATTTCGGGAAAAATCTTGGCCGGCAAAATATTGCATGATATAGATCTTATTCACCATCATACACACTGTATATACTCGAAGAAAAATCGATGATATATCGTCTATTAAGAGAGCTATGATTTTTCAAAATTTCAGATTTATCGATTTCTTTGCGAGTTTGAGTAGTCGATTTCGGGAAAAATGTTGTCCGGCTGAATATTGCATGATATAAATCTCATTTACCATCATACACACTGTATATTCTCGAACGAAAATCAATGATATATCTTCCCTTAAGAGAGTCATGATTTTTCGAAGTTTGGAATTTATCGTTTTTTTCGTAAGTCTGAGAGGTGGAATAATATGAGAAAATTCATGCCAAGCAAAATATTGTGTGTTTTTATTCAATCTTATTCATACACACTGTATGTGATAGAAAAAATCTGTGTCCAGTAAATTCGAACGGCTTTAGATATTTTGTGGCTGGCCAGCCACGTTTTTAATATTTGACTACCGTTGGTGTTTTGTAGCGCGCCGTAAAATTTCAGCGGAGTTGTGGCTGGAAGACGTGGCTGCTTTCACGCTGGTTTTTTATCAACTCTTTTGCCTGTCTCATTCCTGGCGAGTTGTTCCATTCTTGAGATTTGGTTTGCATCCATGATTTGATACTTGTTTTTTGTATAGCTTTCGCAATGCCACAAACCACAAAAGGGTTCTGGGCCATTCTGAGCTTTGTTTGTTCCTGCTCGGGCATGTGAGTCTACCTCTTCATTGCCTTTGTACCCTGTATGCACTGGTACCCATGCTAAAATCAGTCTGTTCTAACTGCCCAGTTCATTTAGAGTTTCTGAGCAGTCAGAGCTTTGTTTGCTCTTGCTCGGGCATGTGAGTCTGCCTCTTCATTGCCCTCGTATCCGGTATGTGCTGGTACCCATACTAGAGTCAGTCTGCTCTGACTGCCCAGTTTCTAAGCAGTCCAATACTAGCTTTGAATTAACTTGTATTGAGTTAACTGCTTTGATTGCCGCCTGGCTAATGACTCTTGGTCGAATTCAAATATTTTCGTCTAAGCAGAAATAGAAATATCTCGTACCACAATAAGAAATAAGTGATTGAAACAGCAGTTGGTTGGATTAGATAGTCCTGGTGCATGAACCGAATTTTTGATGGGATTTTCCGAGGGATTTTCACAAAGCCGTTAAGAATTATTTGGGCAGCAACCATTTGCTTACTAAGTAAAAAAATTCAAGAAAAATTTGTGCTAGAAGGCTGAGAATAGGTTCTGGACGATTTACCTTATCTTGAAAGAATATGCAAAGCTATTGATGCATAATTCACTTATCGCTATCAACATTTTCTTCTTCGGAATAGTTTTTCGTAGAAAATGATGAAATACCTACCGATTGTACTATCGCCCATTGTTTAATTTCGATAAAAATCATTGTCTGTGGAGAATGAGTAATACTATTGTGGTTATTCTTTATAAACACGGCGTCTAAAGTCAAATGAAAAGTTGAAGTAGATATTCCGAGAAGTATTCATTGCGACTGTTAGTCAATGTTTATACAAAAAGAAGACGACCACAACCAACATACTTTTTAATTATAGAACATACTTATTCCAATATCACTGTTAGGATATGAAGCATACATACACAGAGAAAGTTATTAACCTATAAACAAACAAGAAGAAGACTGTACACAAAGAGATGTCTACAAGATATGAAATAATCTATAAATTATCTAAAAATATATTATAAGTATAGGTACAAAAGGAAAATGTTTATTAATGTCACTATTTATCTAAAACTATATCGGGAGCACAAGTTAATTCTATTGCTGTAAATAATATGCTTTGAAATATTTTGTGGCGTGAAAATACATCTACAGGGTGCCTTTTTTTAACTACAGTAAGTGTAAAGTGTAAACAAATGTTTGCATTCAGGAAGTAGAGGATTTTAGGGCAAATATGGATATTTAATGTCGAGGATAATGTTTTGTTCATTCTATGATTCCTACTTACTGTAGTTAAAATTGAGGTACTTATTGCTAATAACATCCTGTACATTATAGGTAGTGGTGTAAGGTTGAGAAAATGAATGAAAAATCAGAAAATGGTAGACGTAGAGTTTTACGATATCTCTTATACCGATAACGTCTTTCGTTTCATGGATATCTGTTCCTAAAAATATTCTATGTGTATACCAGACGAACTGTATGGGTCTAATGATCATTTATTCAAAATTTTAATTATCCGTTTAACACATAATTTATGGTTTTGAAGCATTCAATGAATGTTTATAATTTGGGTTACAATCAGTTCTACAAGTTTTATAACACTGTTTACAAGCTTCCTGTTGGTTTGGATAAGCTTGCCAGTTACGACAATAAATTCGACAAACAATATAGTTGAAGGCTCATTAATTTTGAATTATGCTAATGAAAAACCGTGTGGAATTGATTGAGGTGTAAACTTTCTTATGACTATGATAACTTCGGTATGATGGCACCTACAAACACATGGTACTTCCACTACAAACAAAGTTAGACGATGTATTTATACTAGAAAGACGACAGTGTATGACACGTTATAAAGTAATACCACCTTCTATAACTTCTTCATTTTTGACAGTAGAAAAAAGAAGAAAAATAGCCTTACAAGAGATTTTTTTCCTTCTCGAATCAACAGTTACATTTTCACTATCTGCAAAAATATACAAGAAGCAGCAGAAAGTGTATGAATTTTAAATGGAACGCCATATATATATTTCCCCATCATTGGAGAGCTTGCCAAAAAAACCGTACTCTATACAGGGTGATTCAGGTTTTAAGGCACAAACTGTAATGGGAGATTGCATACATATGGCACGGCATTGGTGGTTACTTCACATGTTTATTTGAGTTAATTGTTTCGGTTGCAGAAAAAATAGCATGTTTCATTCGGATCAAAAGTGACTTTGTTCGACTCGCAAATTCTGCTTTCGCTCGGCTTCGCTAAACGCTCCGCCTTGCAAATGCAAAATTCACTCGTCAAACAAAGTGTCACTTTCGATCCTAATAAAACAATCTACTATTCATATTATTAAATAATAGGTGTATGAAAAACTGTTACAATTCGAGTTTTATTTTCAGTTCCTGACGATTAATCAAACTTTCCCACCTCAGCCAGAATTGTATCAGACCTATGAAGACATGAAATGTGAAGAAGAAAAACGAAAAGAAGCTTGCGAAAATCAATGAGAATCAATGAATGGAAGATCTATGTTGCCTTCAACAACCAGCTTTATCATATTGAATGTTGAATGGGAAGTAAAATTAAATTGAAATGCACCGGTTTATTTTTTAGACAAACATCAGGATATTCAACAATTCAACATATATAAGTTCGATGCTTATTTTATTGAGATAAGTGCAAACTTCATAAAAAGATTGAACCATTAGCTACCGTGAATAAGATGAGTGAAAAAAATAGTGGAAATTATTCAGCATTATACATAGTGGGCACAGATTAACAAACCTCATTTGTTAATCTGTGTAGTGGGTCCACTGTCGATGGTACCTTAGACATTTAGGGAGAACACGACATAGTATCGTTCTGAAAATTTGGTTAAGTAGTTGCTCTTTGTCTATCGATCTAAAATATTTTCAGCAATGCAGCGTTGTCGCGCATACCAGGAAATGGTAACAACTTTGATATTTCAAATGGAACACCCTGTATTTCATTGCATTTTCAGATTCTCCCTGAAGCTGATCTCATCAATGCATCACACATGTGGTCTTGCGGAAATGATTACAGAGATTATAGGGTGTTCAAAATCGAGATTTTTTACTATAGGATTTTTTTGTGACGAAACTATCAATTATTGGTTGAAATGACTTACATGTCTCTATTTTGACTTTCGATTTATTATCTACTGACATTTAATTGGACCGAATACAAGGTGGTTCAAGATTCAGAATTCTGATCACCCTTTATCTGTTCCAATTGAAAGTAAGTAGAAGGCAAATCAAAAGTTGAGATCATGTAAGCAGTTTTGACCGATAATGAATAGTTTTGACACAAAAAAAAAACTAAAGTTGAAAAATCCCAATTCTGAACACCCTATATCTCTGTAATCATTCCCAGTAGACCCCAAGTGTGATGCATTGATGAAATCAGTCCTCCAAGGAGAATCTGAAAATTTCATTGCATTTTAGCATACAGGGCGTTCCATTTGAAATATCGAAGTTGCCACTACTTTCTGGGAAAAGCGACAACGCTGCATTGTTGAACACATTTTAGAACGATAGATGAAGAGCAACTACTTGAGTAACCAAATTTTCAGAATGATCCTATGTTTCGTTCTCATCGAGGGTACCATCGACCAATCCTGTATACCGATTATCGGAAAAGCCCTTCCACATCTTTTGTTGAGAAAATAACGTAATTCGACCTATACACACATGAAACAACAACTGCTAATGGGAGCCCTATATAAAAAGACACCGTATATGGAAACCTGCCAACTACAAGAGATTAGAAGCATTTTCCGTGGAAATACTAGAAGCCTACTTAATATAATTAAGAAGGATATCCTGTTAGAGGGGATGTAATATTGATATTTGTTTCTACTATGCGTATACTGGGATTATTATTTTGCTTGTGTGTAATTATTAATAATGATTTATCCTAAGTGGGACTGCTCACTTTGTGTACAATCCGTAATTTCTTGGGAAATCAAAGTCCGGTGTATCATTGTTTGAATTCGGTTGATTTGTAATTCATTGGAATCCTTGTAACATTAAGAAATGTCCGGAAATGTCAATGAAATGTCGTGCATTCAAATGAAATTCAACGGAATTCCTCGCAATTAAGTAAATTAGATTTCCGAGGGGATTTCTCCTGTAATTCCTTAAAACTTAATGGAATTTTTTTCACGAAATACGGCCAGTTTTAGAATACTGTTCTCACATATGGGGTTCGGCACCCAAAAATACGCTGATGATCTTATAGATTCCATGCAGAGAAGAGACATTCGCCTGGTGGGTGATGCCACACTCACTAGTTCTTTGACATCATTAGAACACCGTGAAAAAGTCGGCGACCTCTCATTATAGATACTTCCTCAGAAATATCTGCTATCATTCCATCACTAGCAATACCTGTCAGGCGAACTCGACAAGCCCAGTCAGTACATCCATCCGTTGTCAACCTTGAGATATGTTGAACAACACTTTAACCAACCCTCGTTCGTCTGTAGAACGGCAAAGCTTTGGAATTATTTGCCAATGGAAGTATTCCCTCAAGACCTCATAAGCTCCAAAAGTTAAAAAAAACACTCCTTATGCTCCATAGGTACGCACGATGTTCTTCGAACATTATAGGAATTTCCTTCCGTGCGCTCGAAGAGATAAAAAAATACCTAAGATAGAATTCCTCGTTCCAATCGAATTCCTCGTATTGCAATTCAGTGGTATTATATAATTTCGGCGTAAATAATCAACAGCGATCAGCTACGGACAATCTGGGTGGTAGGTTTGGCAACACCGGATCCGAGCCATCTGTTCTCGACATGGTTTTCAGATTCAGACAAAGAACTTCTGCCTACATAAGGACGCAAGTAATTCAGAATATGGCAGCTGTTTCGAAGGTATAGAAACTTGCTAAACCATTTGTGAAGGTTCGGGGTACGGGGTTTACGACCATGTCATATCTATGCCTCTACTAGGCCCTAGGACCTTCGAAAAAGTACAGTCGTTCCAAAAGAAAGGGCCATTTCCGATTTCTATATGAAAAAAATAGATGAAAAATAATTGTATCTACCTAGTTGTGGTTGCAGAAAACATAAAGAAAAGCAACATTATGGTGCAGTGTTGCCAGCATATTTAGATCAACAATTCCGTAGTTGTTTGTCTTACGCAGAGACGATTTCATTTTATGTTATCATCATGCACCATGGCAGATTTTATTGAGGATTTTATACGAAATTTTATATCATTCGTGTAATGATCATTCGACTCTAGCTATATGAATATTTATGCATTGTTTAATAGGTACCTAAATATTGCAAGATTGTATGATGTTCTCTACAAAGCAAACAATGGCTACAAAGATCCGCTCTGAAAATAATATATTCCACTGTAGACAGGGTGGTCCAACAAAAGCACTAATGGCAATCCCGAAGAACCCTTGGAACAACTTGACTACTTTCTTCATCCCCGTAACTTCAACCCCCTACTATGGGGAAGCACAACCCCTTACCACACAACCCCCGGATATTGGATAGGGATGAGGGGTGTTGCGATACCTCATTCAAAAATTTCATCGAGTACTATCCGACCCTCTAATTTCTCGTCAAAATTTATATCCATAACGAAATGGTAGATAGAAAGTGGGCCAGGCATTCGAAAAGTATTTATTCGAGCGTTTCTCCAAACTTTCATTTCAAAGCCATAAAATCTGGTTGTAAAATTTTCGTTGGACCACCCTGTATAACATTTTTTTATACATATTATGTACATATACAGCCTACCCTAAACATGCACATGTATTTTATCAATATGCCACGACCCAAGACAAAAAAAACGGTGAAGGTAAAATGTTTTCCATCAGTGAAGTGAAGTGAAGTATGCAGTGTTGCCGGATACTTCAATAGGTAGTCATCTAAAACCAGCTACCTATGCTAGGAATTTCTCTCGAGATTTACAAATAAACAAAGAAGAATTACCAAAGAAGGGAACATTTTGTATTTCGTGCAAAATAATTTATTCGTAGCAGAGCGCTTTCGACTGTTAAGTCATCATCAGTGAATTAGTCCTCGGATAAGAATTTAGTCCAACACTTTTGATTTGATTAGAATTGATTTATGAGGATTGGCATCACCGAAATTAAATGGCTCAAGTTATAACAGACATGCAAGAATATCAAAATCCCACGTGACATCTAAAGACAGCTGTGATTGGCTGATTCGGATTTGGCGGTGTTTGATTCCAATGGAACTTGGATTTTTCGGGTTTTGAAACAAACTGAATCTTTAGATGCAAATAAAGCTTGAATTTGGTGGGTTTTGCAGTGTAGTTTTGATATCAATTCGTAGAGGACCATAACAGGAATCCATTGCCGTATCCAACTCATTTTTTCACCAAAAATGGAGCTGTCGGGTTCTGAAACTATAGCTGATTCAATTCTGTTAATCGAAAAACGTTCATAGCTACCCACAGGGTCATCTTTAGAGTTGTTTTATATACGATTATACTTGAGTGTTATACGTATCAGGTATTATTTACTGTAAATCTACGACATTCAATACTCTACTGGTCTACAGATCTTTCGATAATCCAATTAAAAATAAGCAGAGGGTGAATCAATCATAATTTTGTTAGATCACTCATTTTTCCAGGGTTTTATTTTCTTTGAACTGAACTGAAATAACGCAAAAAATGTGTAAAAAGGAATAGGTAATCATTTGCACAAGATTCTTTACGAATCAGCCTTCAAAGTGATCCCCGAATTTGGTAGGAGGAAGTGAGTTCGCTCGTTCTGAATGGTTTAATAAAGCCGACTTGATTATTAAAGCTATTGAAACACTTGGAACCTTGAAAAATTATAGTAAATCGCTACTTCGAAGTTGGGAACCAGTCCAGAATTCCACCAATGTCCCAGCTTGTGCGGGGTTAGGAAGAGGGGGACCTATAGCTTATAAAGGATACGAACCACTTCTATATAGAGCGCCGAGGTACAATCAAGATTACGATCAAAAATCACTCATTTCAAAGAAAAATGCTCAGCATTCGGACCAATAGCAAGCGAATATTACCGCCTTTTGAGACGTTACAGCTTAATTGCGTACTGTCATTCCTGCGTGGTACTAATGTGAAGTACTACGGGATAATGCGGAGTATAGTATACCTACCAGTCGCATCACACTGCAGTACTGCTAAATTTGCAATAATTACTTGTTGGTATATAAACAAGGGTAGATACTTTCGATCAGTAAAACACCCCTTGGTATCTATATTAGAATACCTACCACTATAGATAACGACAAAGAAAAAATGTGATTTGAATGAAAGCATACCAAATAGGTAAAGGTACCATGGAATGATTCACCCTGTAAGAGTATGCGTTATACAACATTCAATTACCTACTCTATACCTACCTACTCGTTCAGCTCATTCTTTTATTAAAGGCTAGTTACTCAAATCTCAAATCCCCGATAACAACAAACAACGAATCATAACACCTAACAACAAAACAAAACAATCGCAAATCAGCCATACAATTTCGCCGGGTCCAGCGATCCGGCAACACTGTGCCTCCCCCTGAGAAAGGTTATGGTCGACGATCGGCATTAGGGAAAAACGGCCGGAAAAAAAGGGGCACCCAAGTACCCTAGGGCCCTAGATCCAAGACCCAACAGAAACTTACCCTACAAGAGGCGGCGGCTGGAGCACCGAAACGGGGGGCGGCACATTATAAGGAGCGTACAATTTACCGGGAGGATTCTCGAACAACATAACGCGAGTATTTCGAGAGGAAACAGCACGAAAAAAACAACGGGTGGCACGGAATACGGAATACGCGAACAATTCAACCCCTACGGTAGACGAGAAGCGACTGATCGGGCTGATGCAGCTGCGACTATGCTTCTACGGTTTTCGAGCCCTTCCGTTCGTTCTGTTCTGTTTCTGTTCCGTGCGTTTCGACAACGCTCTCCGAGCCGGCTGTTCGCTAGCTAGACGATATAGAGCTGGGAAAACGCCGATCGCCACATGCTGGGCCGGAGCGACAGGACGACCGTCAATTCGACTCACCTAATCTCCTAAATTCTCCCTTTATCAGCAGGGCCGGATTCAAGCAAAGGCGACACCGCACCACAACAAAAAATACAAAATAATTTCACTGGTCATGTATTATTATTGTAGATAGTTGACAGTCATATGCCCGAGATCACCTTTCGCCAACATACTATAAGGACGATTTTATTGGGTCAACACCAACAAAGCTTGTAGCTCCGACGGAATCCCACCGATTGTTCTCAAGAAATGTGCTCCCGAACTAACACCTGTTCTCTGCAAGTTGTTCAACTACTCTTACATATTGGGGATATTCCTGTCCAACTGGAAAATTGCAAGAGTACAACCAGTTCCTAAAAAAGGAAAAAAAATCCCTACCTAGCAACTACAGACCGATCGCACTGCTATATATTATTTCAAAGATCATGAAGAAAGCTATCAACATCGAGCTCATGAAATACCTGGAACATTCAGGTATAATCAACGATAGACAATATGGCTTCCGTCTTCTTTTCAGGGCTCCAATACCAGTCAGGCAAATCAGAAACGAAAGAGGGAGAAATGTTGACAACATAAATATGGACTTGGCAACAATTCTCGAATGGGGATTCAATAACTTGGTAGAATTCAATGCAAACAAAACACAAGCATGCCTTTTCTCTAGAAAATCTCACTGTGCCCAACATAAGCTTTCCAGGAGTAACAATACCTTTGAAGACATCCATTTCGATGCTTGATATTACTATCAGCAATAACCTTTCTTGGGAAAATCACGTGGGATCAATTGCTAAAAGTGCATCCCAAAAAGTTGCTGTTTCGGGCCAGGACCCATTTCACTTCCGGTCAGCTGCTTATGATCTATAAGGCACAGATCCGACCTGTCCTGGAATACTGTTTCCATATTTGGAGTGCAGCACCCAAACATACCCTGAAACTGTTCTGTCCAAAAATGGGCAATTCGTCTCGTGGGTGATGCCTCGCTCACAAACTCACTCACATCTCTGGAACACCGTAGAAAAGTTGACGATCTGGCTCTATTTTAAAGATATTCTCATGGACGACGCTTTTCTAAAATATCAACAATAGTGCCTCCTTTGGCAGTCCCCGCGAGATTAACCCGTCGGGTTGAGAAATCGCACCCCATCGTTGTCACCTTGGAGACCTGCAGAACATCTCTTTATAAAGACTCGTTCATCCAACGAACAGGGAGGCTCTGGAACACATTGCCATGGGAGGTGTTCCCCGAGGCATATAACCTCCAGAAATATAATAAGAACACCAATTCTTACCTTGGTTCTCACGATGTTCCCTGAACATTACAGGATATCCCTTTTCGTGAGAACCAGAACATGAAAAAAATGCTACCTGCATACTCAATACATTAAACCATGCTTTTGATTTTTTCCAACCAGTTTCATATGAATATGAGAAATTTGAAAAGAACATAAGTGTAACGAAAGGAGGATCAAATTATGTTGGAAAATGTGAAAGAATGTTTTCCCAATGTAGTGTAGAAGTGACGTAAAGAATGTAGTACCTTTCCTTGATGGTAACTATCAGAAAGATCCGAGGAAGGATCATTCTCTAAGCTGAAGCTGATCAAGAACAGACTCAAGACCTCTATGTCGGAAGACAGGCTATAAATTTTTTGGACTTCCTTAGTATAGAACACGGCATTCTGCGACAAGTCAACCATGAGAATATCATAAACGCCTTCATTATGGACAAGCTCAAACAGAAGCAAGAGTTACTGAAGTGATTAGCACGATTAGCAGTACATTAATTGATATTCCAAAAAAGATGTATTAAAGATATACTTATGATCTAAAGAAGAGATCTTGATCTTTTCTTGTACACTGAAAAATGTACATTAAAGTGTTGAAGTTATGTCCACTTTCGTGGCGTATCTTAACCGACAATAATTTGTGTCAAAAATCAACGATGTGAGAGTTTGCTTAAAAAATCACCATTTTGTATCTGATTTTTCAATTTTTTCATTGGGGTATTCCATATCCCCCGATGCTCCACGAGCCCAGGGCCCGCACCACAGGTAGAGCCTAGGGCCTAAATTTCCTAAATCCGGCCCTGTATATCAGGGATGCACACATGCGCTCATCATTTCATTCCTGAGTTTTTACACAAAATTTAACCCACTTAGATTCTTCCCGTAACCACATAATACACATCATCATTCATCAGTCTTGTATCCATATCTCAACTTTCGATTCACTATCTACTGACATTCAATTGGAACAAATACAGAGTGGTCCAAGATTTGGAATTCTGATCCACCATCCAAAGTACAGTTTGATCAGAAAAATTGTCGAATTGTAAACAAGTTCCCTCTTGCGTCATACGATCCTATCACATTAATTTTTCAATTTTTGCAGTTGGGGGAATTAGCTATATTCCCAAGCGGATCAAGGCAGTGCCTAAGGTGAGAACCTTTGACAAGTGCCCGACCATTTCAAATGAGAAGCGATCCAACCAACGGTCATATCTTTCCCCTTGTCCCTGTCCATGATAGGACGGAATACACATTGAATACACAAGGTGTTGTATTTGGTTTCGTGTTCGGGACTCTTGGATTTCATTTTTGGCAATCGGGCCCCACACGTCAAATCGATAAGCGAAAGAAAACGCGTACGGGTTATGAAGAACATTACTACACTTAGACTGTTATTTTTATGTCGCAGCCACCTATGCATGATGTTTTTGTAAACAAAGGACTTTCTCGTCGCTGTCTGGTTCTGGTTGCAGCAGAGTCGCGGCCGATGCATCAGGGTTGAAGGTCATTATCAATAGACTCCCACTTGCAATCGACGTTGCCAAATGTCATACTCAAAACGAAGAAACAGTAGTTTTATGGCACTTACAAATGCAAAATGTGACCACATTCACTCCGGAACTCTGAACATAAAAATGGTAAATAAAAATGGTAAATGCAGGATCAATCAACAAAAAAATCCTGTAGGTCATATTCTTATATAAACTTCCGTCACTGAGAAGTGTCAACAAAGAAAAACAATTTGCAAAGAATATTTTTTCCATTTTTATGTTGAAAACGGGACCTGATTCGTTACCGAAACATACAAAAAAAGTGAAATTTTATATTTCTTAATATGCCGCCTACCCAGGTATTTTCTCTTTTTTCTTAGATTCCATCCAGAGAAGAGCCATTCGCCTGGTGGGTGATGCGACATTCACTAATCCTTTGAAATTCTTTAGAAAAGCCGATCTCACTGTGCCCATCATAAGCTTGTCAGGAGTAACCATACCTTTGAAGACATCCATTTCGATACTTGGTATTTACTATCAGCAATAACCTTTCTTGGGAAAATCACGTGAGATCAATTGCTAAAAGTGCATCCCAGAAACTTGGTTTTCTGTTTCGGGCCAGGAGCTATTTCACCTCCGGTCAGCTGCTTATGATCTATAAGGCACAGATCCGACCTGTCCTGGAATAATGTTCCCATATTTGATGGAGTGCAGCATTCAAACATACCCTGAAACTGTTGGATTCTGCCCAAAAAAGGGAAATTCGTCTCGTGGGTGATGCCTCGCTCACAAACTCACTCACTTCTCTCTGGAACACCGTAGAAAAGTTGGCGATCTGGCTCTACTTTATAGATATTTTCATGGACAATGCTCTTCTGAAATATCAACAATTGTTCCTTCCTTGGCAGTCCCCGCGAGATTAACCCGTCGAGTTGAGGCTTCGCACCCCTTCGTGGTCACTTTGGAGACCTGCAGAACATCTCTTTCCAAAGACTCGTTGATCCAACGAAAAGCGACGCTCTGGAACACATTGCCAAGGGAGGTGTTTCCCGAGGCATATAACCTCCAGAAATTTAAGAAGAACACCGATTCCTACCTCATTTCCCTTGGTTCTCACGATGTTCCCTGAATATTACAGGATATCCCTTTTCGTGGGAACCAGAACATAAAAAGAGGTACCTATTTCCAATATTTCACAAATTGATACAATTCAACATTCTGTCAGACATTTTAACAATGATTTTCATATTTCTCAATTGATATGAAGGTATTTTTGGTGATGCCTGATCCTGATGCAATTAGAAATTATGCTGGGAAAGATATGTAGTTGAACTCATAATATTCCTGCATGAATATATCCATCAGTTCATGAATGCTTACCTATGTAGGCATTTATAAAAGGAACATCAATTTTTTCGTGAATATCAAAAGAAAAATATTGAGTTCGGTAATGTGACGTCAAAGAATATAGCAGTTTTTGAAATACCGACCAGTCGTTTATTATTATGGTTGTTTGAGCTGGTATAAAACGTGACAATGAGGGGAATAGAATGGAATATTTAGTAGAAATAGTTCGGAATATGATTCACAGTCAGAAAACAGAGGATTTACTCTCCAGAACGAACCATTTTCGCTCCAAAAGGGTATAAATTCAAGGTCATATATAAAAAAACAAGTTGAGGGGAAAAAATCAAGTCGGGTATGTACAGGGTATCGTAAAAACCCACTCAAATGTGTCACTACCACTTTCATACATACTCATTAATACATATTTTTATCAACAGTGAAAACACAAGAGCTTCTTTCATCGAATACCTTAAGTTCCTCTTCCTAAAAATGAAAAATATTTATGCGAGAAAACCTGAAATTACAAAATTTCGAGACCGAGGGTGGAGTAATTTTGTCTGTCTTTTCATAATTCGCCCCCATAAGTTACTATTTCATTTTTTGAACAGGTATAAAGAACGAAATGATGGATTTTAATATTGTTACTATTATTAAATTGAATCGGTGTATGACAAAGAATTTCATTTGTGGCAGGTTACACATCAAGTTTATTCAACTTTTGGTTTTTTCGATAAACAGATAGATCGTATAGATTTT